TCAACACCCCTCCCCCGCCCCCCACATAGATGCATCAGATTGGTTTCTAAACTTAACTGCACAAAAAGATGAATAAATCAACATGAATGTACTAACATACATTACACATATTTCAAATCAACAACATAACAAATGAATTGCATAGCAAAAAGGAAATATCATGACATGATTCGTACCATGCTATGTAATCAAACAATCAAAAGTAATATGACTGACATGTACACAGTCACAGCACCATCTCAAATCAGTGCATTAGACACAAGATCACAGACAGATGTGACGTGATTCACGCTCATGCGCTCTTACTAATAAATTGAATGTCATTTACATTCTGTTGCTTTTACATAAAAATAGGCCTACATATGAAGAACAAGACACCCAAAGTACCCACAAAGATGTGTTTTCCATCCATTTTATTTATTATTACTTTATATATTTATTTTGACATATCAACAATCACCTAGCCAAACATATATTCACACATAATATTATATTACACATAAGTTGCTTTTACATAAAAATAGGCCTACATATGAAGAACAAGACACCCAAAGTACCCACAAAGATGTGTTTTCCATCCATTTTATTTATTATTACTTTATATTTATTTTGACTTATATCAACAATCACCTAGCCAAACATATATTCACACATAATATTATATTACACATAATTTTATATTATACATTTAAAACCATGAAATCAGAGATATAAAAAAAAATGTCACCGCCAAAGGAATGTTGTAGATTTAAAGGGTAAATGATGATGTATTTAAGCTTTCATCATTTACAGCTTAAAATACACAACGTACATTGAAAATATACAGACAGAAGATAGAGAAGCTTTAATGTTGGGTGGTATGAAATAATATTTCATGCATGCTGTGCTTTAGGCAGTGGCAGATCTGATTTTTTAAAGGCAGGGGCCACAGTGCGGCCACAATTTACAGAGAGGGGCCAAGTATAATGCACGATTCTTTTTCATTATTCAATTGCTGCTGGCACTAGCAGATTTCTATAATGACACACTGGAGATTGAGGAGAAAATCGCTGGAGTAACAGGTAAGTCGTTATAATACCCAGGGGAAATAATTGCTGGAGTAACAGGTAATCTTAAAAAAAGAACAGTTCTCTGGTTTTTATGACTGATGCTGAAATGTCTGAGAAATTCATTCATATCTAGTGTCTTTGCCCTCCTGGATTCAGTACTCAATACTCCAAGGTGTCACCCTCTGCTTACACCACCGCATCAGCACGGAAAACATGGGGACATTTTTAAAGACAATAATCACACAACCTATTTGATATTCTATATAATTAAATAAGCTAATCGAATATTCAAAAATCGTGACCCATCCCTAATATGTAGCTATATAACAAAGCTCTTGGGGAAGAAGGAGCCGGGAACCGGCAAATTTAACTTTAATAACAAAATAAACATAAACAACAAAAAAGTAAGAAGCAGTGCCTCACTACAGACTGCAGCATAAATGTGACAATACCACAAAGTAAAGTCCCAAGCCTGGTCCTCTCACACCTTTCACTGTTGTCAGGATTGCCTGGTCTGAATCAGAGCACATGCTGTGCAAGTCACTGAATGTCATTTGCACTCACTGAACAAGTCTTTAAGTATGTGTGTTTTCTTATGGTTGAGTTGCTCTGTTGTGTCTGAATTGACTCCCAGCTGGCCATTAATAAACCTTATTGGCCCAGACCACTACATGTTAGTTATATTGCTTCAAATGTTAAACTGTAGCAGTTAGA